GTGCAGGATCTTGCAGGATTCAGGATTCTGCAAGGCCTGATTGGCCCAGGTCTGCATTGCCCCCCCGGGTCAGGAGATCCCCGTTTCCCACCCGACTCGCGAGATCGCCCAAGGTGTTGCAGATCTTGCGGCGGGGCAGGCCTCCGCTCTTCGTGGCAGATACATCGGCAAAGCCACGGCTGCAGAAGCGTACATGTCCTGAGCGCCGCGCGGATTCCTGGATCGGCGCTGGGCCTCTGTGGCGCCGCGCCTGGCGCGCTTCGCGCGCCACGGAGAGGGTCCATCGCCAATCCGAAGAATCCAAGCGGACCTCCGAAAGGTGAAAGTGGATGCTGGTGTTTCTTCCCCACAAGGCAAACAGAACTTCTGCGATCGAATGTTTTCAGTGGACGTTCTTCCCCAACCATCCTGTGGTGTTGGGTCCTCGTTTTAATGGAACAGCACCCCGCGTCTCATCTCCTCGCGCCATTCTCCCCCTTTCTTGACAGTTTCAACTTGCGGCGCCATTGCCAATCATTCCTGATGGGGGGGTGCGAGGCCTTCCCTACGGCCCCTCGGCCAACGGAGACGGCCGTAGGGAGGGGTGCCAACGTACCTCCACAAGTCAGATTTCAATACCCTAAGGCGCCAATTGCCACCATCCAGCGTTTTCCTCCTCAGGGCCGTGAGCGGGATTTATTCCCGTGCCGGCTGATTGTGCTTGTCAATGTCAATCCACCTACGCACTATGGCGCATTGGCCATCCCACTCCTATCCAAAGTGTTGAATCGGGGAGTTGGAGGGCTGTCCGTGCCATTTCGGTGTCACTCGTGCGGCCGCCTCGTCCACACCCCAGCCACCAGGGTGACCGTTCGACCCGGGTCGCCATAGCGTCATATGTGCCGCTGCCCTCTGCGTGCTCCTCGAGGACGGGACTGTGCGACATCAAACTTAATGCATAGGCGCGAGAATCTCACCCACACCCCCTACCCCTCCCCCGCTCGCCGCTTCTCTGCCCGTTCGTCCTTGTTTCCCTCCTCGCATGCGCTGCCCCCCCCCCCCCCCCTGGGTTGGGTGCCGTGGTGCTTTGGGGCTGGGGGCCGTTCCTGTTTCTACCCGCGACCATTCGTCGCCGCAGCCTCAGATTTAAAACCAACTCCTGCCAGGACCCTCCCCCGCCCCGATCAGGAACGCGAGCGCCCAACTAGCAGGAACCATTGGCTTTGGCAAAAATCCAAATACCCCTTTACACGAGAAGCCTCTTATTGGAATAATTGCGTCTCTCATTGTTTCGCAGGGCGTGTGTTTTTTTGTTGGGGGGGTCTCTGATTTTTGGCTACGCCAGCCTATCTTCGGCTTCCACGGCCTGGGGGAGTACTGTCGGCGGAACGTTTGTCACCTAACCTGGCCTCTGCCTCGGAGGGGCGGCGGGCGGACAAATCGCGCCCCCCCGCCAGAATTCTGACTTCGGCTTTCCAGTGAATATTATTGTTACCCGAGCTGGTAGAACAGCTCAGGTGACCGGAAAACGTTTCTCCGTTTTCCCGCGTCGATTTTTTGGAGAAACAGTTTGGTCGGGCTTTGATTTTTTGGCATTGTGTGCAGCATGTTCGGGCAGAGCCCTGCCGAAACATGCTGGCTTCCACCCGTGCCGTGTTGTGTGGTGCGCGAGGCACCACATAGTATGTACGAAATTTGTGTTTGTCGGGGGACTTCGATTCGGGGGGGGCCTGCCCCTCTTCGGGTTTGCTCTCGGCGGGGCGCAGCTGTCCCTGGGGCTGGGGTCGCCACAAAACGGTACCTGAGCGTTGTGCGCGCACTCGTTATTCCCCCCCGTGGGATACCGAGTGCGCAGGGCCTATTTAGTTGCGGTGCCGAAGCTGTGTGTGTGCCGGATTTGTGTTTCACCCCTTCCCTTTCCGGAATTCCCGCCTCAAGACCAGGGCACATCGCGGACGGCTCGTCGTTGCGCCCCACCTGGGCGACTGGGCGACTCTCTTCCCTTTCCTCCTTGGCGAGGACCATCATAGGCCTCAGCCACTCTGGTGGGGACCATCATAGGCCCCACCCCCTCGGCAGCTGCCATCATAGGGGCTGCCGGGGGGTCTCGGTCCAATTCTTGACATTTGCACCTTGCAGCGCTATTGCCCATGGGGCCGAGGCCTTCCCTACGATCCCTCGGCCAACGAAGACGGCCGCAGGGAGGGGTGCCAACGTACCTCCACAAGTCAGATTTCAACACCCTAAGGCGCCAATTGCCACCATCCAGCGTTTTTCCTCTCCCCATCATCTTCCCTCCGCCCTCCGCAAATCAGTTTCGGCAGGCCACTCGCACGTTAGTCATTGTGGCGCAGCCCGCACGCGGTCCGCCGCCGATGTCTGCCAACCCCTTACACGCTCCGTGGCCCGATAGGGAGTTCCACCGAAGGCCCTTGCGGCGCAGCTCGCGCGCGGTCGGCCCCGCCACCAATTTCGGCACGCCCCTCGCACGTTTCGTGGCGCCGCAGGGAGCTCCAACGAAGGTCCCAGTGGCGCAGCCCGCATGCGGTCCCTCCACACATTTCGGCCAACCTCCCACACTTTGCGTGGCCCCACAGGGAGCTCCAACGAAGGGCCCAGTGGCGCAGCCCGCATGCCGTCCTGCCGCCCATTTCGGTACACTCTTGCAGTTTTCGTGGCCCCGCTGGGACTTTTACCGCAGGTTTTTGTGGGGCAATTCGAATGCGCGTCCGCCACCGCTGTCGGTACACCTCACACGTTTCGCGGCCCCGAAAGGAGCTACGCCGAAGGTCCCAGGTGCGCAGCCCGCATGCAGTCCCGCCACCCATGTTGGCACACCCCTCACAGTTTTCATGGCCCCAGAAGGCTCCAACAAAGGTCCCATTGGCGCAGCCCGCATGCGTCCCCCCGTTCATTTCGGTGCACCTCTTACATTTTTCGTGGCCCCACACGGAACTCCACCGAAAGCCACAGTGGCGCAGCTTGCATGCCGCCCCACCAATTTCGGCACACCCCTCGAGCGCCTCGTGGCCCCATAGGGAACTCCACCGATGGCCCCTGTGGCCATGTCCGCAAGCGGCAGCCCCACCAATTTCGGCACTTCCCTCACGCGTTTCGTGGTCCTTATAGGGAGTTCCACCGAAGACGATACTCACAACGACGATATTCGCAGCTGCATATGGTTGGGTCTTTCGCCAGGCCGAATTCTTCGATGTCGGCCCTTGGGGGCCATGTGCGGGCCCCCCGATTATCGAAGACCGATCCGGGGCGAACGCGTGTTTTCAGGGAAGCGGTCGGGAATTTGCGCCCGCGCATTCAACGATTTACGCCGTCGGATGTCTGGTGTGGCGAAAACATACACGACGGGATGCTGAGGTTCAGCCTCTTGAGGCCCTCACAGGACCCTGGGACCGTCAAACCCGCTCGGGATGAAACAACTGTCCTGGGGAAAGGGTCCAGACCTCCGCGGGGCCACGCGTGTCAGGTGTTCGATCATGGACCCCTTGTTGGCTGCAACCATCAAGCTTTCGCGCCGGAGTCAATTTGAAACCGCCGAGCACCGGCTGAAGACCGCCAGAGACCACCGAAGACCGTCCGAAGACTGCCGAAGGACGCCGAAGATGGCCGGGAGCGATGGGCAACAAGGGGTCCATGGTCAGGCGCGAGCTCATGGGGGGCGACCCAAATGTGGGGTGAAGAAAAAGGCCTTAGAGGGTCCCTTTACGGCGCCTTTTGGGCCCCTGCTGACTCCAAAAGGGGCCAGTGCTCTGTTCTTCATCCCCCATTTGGGGCACCCCCCAGTAGCACCCGCCCGGCATGGTCGAACACGTGTTGCGTGGAAAAAATTCAACGTCGGAGGTTTGGGGAACCTTCGGGCGGCACCTCCCGCGCCTTTCGGCGCGGAGGGGTGCCGCGCACTGGCGGCCGCCGCGGCGGCCGCTGCAGCCGCGCCACGGCAGGGCCTTTGCCGCGCGGAAGGTGCAGCTCGAGGGGGGGAGGGAGAACATACAGGATGTACAGTCAACCCGCATAGTAGCGATGAGCGGCTTTTCAAGGTTAACCTTGCATCCCTCCACTTCGGCCCATCCTTGCCCGCTTTCGCTGGCCGCGCCCCGCTCGCAAAGTGTCGTCATGGCCTTCTAATGCCCTTGCATCTTTATCGTGCGTCCTTATTATACGGGTCGGTCGTCCATTTAGTCGCGCTGCATTCAGGGGCAACGCTAGGGGGGGATAGGCTCAGGTTGGTGTGGGATGCACGACCCCCCATCGCCTGTTCATCACCGATGGGGGCCAGATGCCCCCCCCCGCCCAGGAGCGTGCGAACTCGTTGTCGGGGGTCCGTCGCCGATCTGTGGGCGATGGATTGCCAATTCCAGGTCTACGTTCCCCACCCGAGCCCGCCCTCCGCCGAGGTTGCCCCTCAGGTCGTAGGGTGGAGCAGCTGCCTTTGAGGAGGAGGAGGAGGAGGAGGTGAGGGAGGAGGAGGAGGAGGGAGGAGGAGGGGGTAGAGGCGGGACAGGAGGAGGACGCGGGGAGTGAGGAGGAGGGGAGGAGAGTGAGGAGGAGGAGGAGGAGGGAGGAGGAGGAGGAGGAGGAAAGGAGAGGAGGAGGAGGAAAAGCGGATGTAGGAGGGATGAGCAAGGAGGAGGGAGGAAAAGGGGATGAAGGAGGAGGAGGAGGAGGGAGAGCCGCAGGAGCCCCGTTTGTCGCGCGCCTCCGGGCTTTGTGAAGGGTCGGCTGTGCTCTGAAGCCCTTCGGCCTCGCGACCGCATCGCTGCCTCCCGCCTGGCTTCTGATTTCTCCGCGCTGCGGCGCGCACGAAGCAGGGGTCGCGAGGGGGACTGCCTTGCAAGAGGGCGGAGGGCTGCCTAGAAGTCCGGGGCCTTTCTAGAAGGCCGCAGAGGCTTCTGACAAGGCGTCCGGGTGGCCTCTAAGAAGGCCACTGCTTTCCTAGGGGTTCCCCCGCCTGCTTACGAGGCCGCCCCCCTCGTGCGCACCGCCAGCCCTCCTTCGTCGCGCTGTTAGCGGCATGCCCAGCGGCACGCCAGCGGCGCGATGTCTACTTCTTTCTCTCTCTCTCTCTCTCTCTCTCCCTCTCTCTTTCTACCTCTCTCTCTCTCTCTTTCTCTTCGTTGTTCTCTTTTTCTCTTTCTCTCTCTCTCTCTCTCTCTTTTCTCGCTCTCTTTCTCTCTCTCTCTCTTTCTCTTCCTCTCTCTCTCTCTGCCCGTCTCTGGGCAGGAGCCTGCATGCAATGACTGCGACGGCAGCGGGCAGGCGGGGGTGCAGCACACAGGGGCGGGGCAGCTGCCGTTCGCCCCGCAAGGCTGTGGCCCGGGTCGCGCGCGGGGTGCGTGCGAAGGTTGCCGCGCTTCTCGCGTCGCGGTCGGGGCCAGAGGGCGGCGCGAGGGCGCCAAGGCAAGCGCCTCTCGCGGGGCACGCTGTGCGAAGCTCGGCGACCCACGTCTCCTCCTGCTCCTCCTCCTCCTCCTCCTCCTCCTCCTCCTCCTCCTCCTGCTCCTCCTCCATCCTCCTCCTCCTGCTCCTCCGGTGCTCTTCCTCCTCTCCTCCTCCCATCCTCCTCCTCCTCCTCCGCCTGCCTCCTCGTCCTCCTCTTCCTCCTCCTCCTCCTCCTGCTCCTCCTTCTGCTCCGCCTCCTCCTCCTCCTCCTCCTCCTCCTCCTCCTACTCGTCCTTCTCCTCCTCCTCCTCTTCCTCCTCCTACTCCTCCTCCTCTTCCTCCTCCCCCTCCGAGAGGTCGTGGCGTCGGAAACAGTCCTAGACATGATCGCGTCGTGACAGGAGCAGGGCGGTAGGCCTTTAGCCTTTTTTTCGGCCTCGGGGAGGCCTTCGCCGGGCCTCGGGGCCATCAGACCACGACTCCCAGGGAAAGGGGAGGGAGGAGGGAGGAGGGAGGAGGGAGAGGAGGGAGGAAGAGGAGGAGGAGGAGGAGGAGGAGGAGGAAGAGGAGGAGGAGGAGGAGGAGGAGGCGGAGGAGTAGGGAGGAGGAGGGGGGGGGGGAGGAGGAGGAGTAGGAGGGAGGAGCGGAGGAGGAGGGAGAGAGAAGGAGTAGGAGGCTGAGGTTGAGGATGAGTGAGAGGAGGAGGGGACTTCCAGGGAGGGCATCAGATGACAAGCCGGTCCCGGGGAAAGGGTGGGGACGTCCAGGGGCCCCGTGTTAACAAAATCAGGACGTCGCATTTCTGGGGAAGAGGAGCGCCTCGCCTGGGTATGGTTTGCGCGAGCTGCACCCATGCCACGGCCCCGAAAGGCCTGTCCAGCTTTTTTTGTGGCACGCGCTCACAGTCGGCGCCTGCCTAGAGGGAGCCGCCGAGTAGGCCTACACAGCGCGGCTGATGTCTGAGAGCACCAGTTCTCCTCAGGTGTGCGACGGGGGAGAGGAGCGGACGCGAAGGGAGTGAGGGAGGGAGGGGCAAATGGAGGGTTTCTCCGAAGGGCGTAGGCGATCCGTCCTCCTCCTCCTCCTCCTCCTCCTCCTCCTCCTCCTCCTCCTCCTCCTCCCTCCTCCTCCCTCCCCCTCCTCCTCTTCCATCTGCTCCTCCCCCTCCCCCCTCCATCTCCTCCTCCTCCTCCTCCTTCTCATCCTCCTGGTCCTCCTCCTCCTCCTCCTCCTCCTCCTCGGGTCGCCTACGGCCCCGGGGGAAACCGTGCAAGGGCAAATCAAGTAGGTCGCATAAGCGGTCCTGAGTGAAAGAGCATCCAACGGGTTTCCATCGCCTTCGCACTCCCCAGGACCCTCCCCGGGCCCAAGGACCATCAAGACCGACTCAGTAGGAAGAGCCGATCCTGGGAAACCCCAAGTGCCCAGGTCCCGTTTCCCTCAGGACCTGATTCTTCCATCGCAGATAGGGCTAGGATAATCTGCGGGCCAGTGCGCAGCTACTGGCACAGCATAGGGCGCTGCCGCCGCGAGTCGCTCCAGGCAGCGCGCGACGACGCTTTTATTGAAGCGCTCACCATGGGGCTGGGCTTTGGAATGTCACGATTTTGTAGTTGACATTGGTTGGCCACGCTCCAGGGCGCGCGTGCCGACGATCGAGTGAGCGGGGTTGTGTTCACTCTGGGAGCGGTGCGCATGCGGTTGCGAAATCCCTTCTCTGCCTTTTGCTCGACCACCTCCTCTCCCTCCTCATGGCGTGGCGAAGGGTCAGTGTCCAATGCGAGCATCGTCTGTGAATCCCAGCGACAGCTGACTTCTGACACTCGTTGCTGCGTTGCGCAAACAGAAAGCATCATGCGCCCCAGTCAGATGCTGGCAGACATGAGAACTCGCCTTGAAGTTTCTGCACGGGCCATTCTGCCGACCTGAACTGTTTTCGAGTTGAAGGGCTCTTGAAAGCAACGAGCTCGAATCAGGTTGATGTAGCGAAGGCCGCGATTACTTTTGAAACTGAGCATAAACATGCGATCCAGATTGTTGGCCGCGTCTCTGCGAACCACTTCCATTAGGACAGCTGGGCTACGATGCCAGCATATTCAGACTGCGAAGGACGTGGGCACGAACATTTGTGGGGGGTTGGACGAGCCCCTCCATGGTGAGAAGGACGGGCGCATCGTGAGGCCTTCTGAGGCAGTCATGCGTCATGAGTGTGCACGCACGTCGTTGAAAGTAGGTATTGCTGGAATCCCGAATTCCAGTATACTTCTAGCGCCTTCCTATTTCAAGAATCGATTTGTTTCTGCCTTATCAGTTTATTTTCTGGGAGGGCCTGGGCCCAATCCACTTGATCCGCCTTCCTTCCTACCTCATGTGTTTTCACCTACTCCTTCCGAGCGACGTGCAGTCGCGAGACCCTTACTGAGGCACGGTCATGAGTCATGATTGTCAGGAGGAGGAGACGGAGGAGAAGGATGAGGAAGAGGAAGAGTCTTCCTCCTCCCCCTCCTCAATCCTCGAGGAGGAGGAGGAGGAGGGGGAGGAGGGGAATGAGGGGTCGACAAGGATGAGGAGGAGGGTGAGGAGGAGTAGGAGGAGGAGGAGGAGGCGAGGAGGAGGAGGGATTAGTGAGAGGAGGAGGAGGGGTTAGTAGTCAGAAGGACCTGGGCAGCCACATTGTTCTGTCGTTGGCCTGCGAAGAGCGCACACGTGCGGCCCCAAGGCGGCCCGAGGACCAGCCCCGGCGGCCGAGGACCGCCACTGGACGGCCAGAGGATGCCTCAAGAATGCCCAGGGATCTGCGTGGCCCCCCCCCCAGGAGGCCCAATGACGAACCGACGGGCCTGAAGAGGCCCCCGCGAAACGCTCGAGAGAATCCAGGGGAGATCCTGGGGCGGCGAGGATCACAGCAGTTACGTCGGTGCTGCGTGCCTGCACGCATCCCGGGCTTTCTGGCCAAGACGGCCTGAGGAGGAGGGGAAGCACGAGGAGGGGAGGATGCTGAGGCAGGGGGAGGAGGAGGAGGGGAAGGGAGGAGGAGGAGGAGGAGGAGGAGGAGGAGGAGGAGGAGGAGGAGGAGGAGGAGGAGGAGGAGGAGGAGGAGGAGGAGGAGGAGGAGAAGGGGAGGAGGAGGAGAAGGAGAAGGGAAAGCAGCAGGATGAGGAGGGGAGGATGATGATGATGAGGCATTCTACGGAGCGCTCCAGAAAAAGGCCTCGCCATTGGAAAAACAGCGGGTGTGACTCCCCAGGCGGAAGCCGGCGGAAATTGGCGGAAGTATACAGACGCGTCCCCAACAGATGGTAACCATGTAGATTCATGGTTTCCAGAACCGGCCAGGAATGTGGCAGTATATCCAGCTGCCGCTGGTGACAATCCCGCCAGCGTGCCCGCGAAGCATTTGGTGTGGTGACTCTTCGTTCACCGCTCAGAAGCCCGTCACATTTGACACGTCCCGTTTCGGCTTCTTTGTGGAGCTCTCATTGGGATTGTTTGGGCTGTCTTCGGGCTGTCTTGGGCACCTGTGGGGCAGTCTTGCGGGGGCCTCTTGGGGTCATCTTGGGGCCCTCATGGGGGCCTCTTGGAGTTCTCTTGGAGGCCTCTTGGAGGCCTCTCGGGGGCCTCCTGGAGGTCTCTCGGGGGCCCCTCGGAGGCTCTTGAGCGCTCTTTGGGCCGTCTTGGGGCGCTCCTTGGGGCCTCTTGGGATCCTCTTGGAGGCCGCTTGGAGGCCTCTCGGAGGACTCTCGGAAGTCTCTCGGGGGCCACTCGGAGGTTCTAGAGCGCTCTTGGGGCCGTCTTAGGGCGCTCCTGGGAAATCTGGGGCGCCTTCGGAGTCCACCTTGGGATTCTCTTGGGCCGTCATGGAGCCATCTCGGAGACCTCTCGGGCCGTCTTGGCTTGGCTAAAACCCCACACGGCGGGCACGCGAAAGCCGTTCATAATCCACAGCCGAAGAAGAACAAACACACCATAAACATAAACTTCTGGCGCTCCGCGCGGATTTCTTGGATCCGCGTTAGCCCCCCCCCCCCGGCGGCGCCTCCCGCGCCGCCCCTGGCGCGCTTCGAGCGCCATGGAGCGCAGATCCAAGAAATCCGCATGCAGCGCCAAAAGGTTATGTTTATGCAGTTGTTGTTATTATCTTTCTTTTCTGCTCGAAAAGGCGGGCACGCGAAAACCATTGAGAAACCACAGGAAAGTCAGTGATTTGCACCTCTTTCGGGGCCCCTGGAGGTCATCTTGGAGCCTTCTTGGGCGGTATTGGGGGCCACTTGGGCCGTCTTGGGCCTTCGTGGAAACATGTTCGGCCACATTGGCCGCCTTGGTGACCTGCCTGGCCTTCGTGGACGCCATCTTGGGCATCCTGAAGGCCTTGGGAAGCGCCAGAGAGGAGTCAGAGCGCCCAGAAACCCTCGGGATGGATCGCGATGCATGCGGGTGGGCGCTGGGAGAAGGGCTTTCAGACGACTTCAGAAGGCTATCACGTCTCGACGTGCCAGGGGGCGGGGGAAGAGGAGACGGGAGGAGGGGGGGAGCGGGCGAGGAGGAGGAGGAGGTCGAGGAGGAGGAGGAGGTGGAGGAGGAGGAGGACGAAGGGGAGGAGGAGGAGGAGGAGGAGGAGGAGGAG